GCACTGGGCACTTGTTCAAGCTTTTGCTTGCGCCTAAAAGACTGCGAGAACGTGAACAAACAGCTCTGCATACTTCATGCCGAGACTGACTCCACGTTTGGTGTCACTAGCAGAAGAGGGTTTTTAAAAACCCTCTTCTGTGTGTGAAGAGGCGTCTGGGCCGTTCCTGAAAATGATCTTGCGGTGTTGGCTCTATGAAGTTTGGTCCATTGGTGTTTGGGCTTGGTAGATGTTGGTAGAATTCGTAGGTTTAATTAGGGTTGATAGACCGTCGGGGGTTCAGGCTTGACAGAGTTCGGGGTTTAGGGTTTAGAGTGCTTTCCATGTGCTTTCAGTTCTTCAGCAGGACCAGCCTTTCAGTTTCTGAAAGGTGTCCCAAAAGAAGATCCCCCAGGTTGATGAGCCTGGAAAGTGCATGGAAGACCCGTCCAAGCAGGAGGGGGTTCTCGACAGCAAGGGCGTTTAATACCCTAAGATCCTTCAAGCCCTAAACCTATAAATCCTAAACCCTAAACCCTGAGGCTCCGAAAGACCTAAACCCCAGAACCTCCGGGATCCCAAACAGCAAACACGCCTTCAACCCTCCAACTGCCAACCCTATCGCCATAAACCCCTGTAAAGTCTTCGGAAGCCCTAGACCCTGCATGGGAAGTTCTCTATATTCGGGTCTTTTTTTGGGGCCCCTTTTAGAAGGGTGGAACCGAAAAGGGGACCCGAATTTAGAGAACTACCTACATCCTAAACCGTAATAAGCCCTGAAAGAGGAGGACAGCCCTTCTGCTTCCAACACCTCGACAGAGACGCTTGAAGTGGCCGTGAAGCCGAATGATCAGGTGGAGTGCAAAACAACAGTCACTTAGCTCTCGGATAGGCAGGTAGTGAGTTTTTTATAAGGGCACCAGAATCTATAGCGCATAAGATGTTATGTATGATGTATAGAGTCTATGACCAAGAATATATAGTATGCTTGTAACACAGGTTTTGTGCGGGAGTCTATAGATGTAAGGATCACGTGCAGCTAGCTTTTTTGTTTGCAAGGGCTTTGTATTTCCTTCTTTTCCCAACCTTTTGATTTGACTATGACTATGATAGTGCAGAGTTTCAAGCCATCCGTTTTTTGTGAGCTTTTTGGGGGAAGACAGGTCATGTTGCGAAATGTACCCAACGATTACACGCGGGAAATGCTCCTGGAGTTGTTGGACTCGCAAGGCTTTGCTGGTCGCTACAACTTCGCATACCTGCCCTGCGACTTTTATCGCGATGCCAACCTCGGCCGCCTAGATGTTCTGGGGTTTTGGGCTTAGGGTTTAGGGTTTAGGGATGTTTAGGGGTTTAGGGTTTAGGGTTTAGGTAGTTAAACCCTAAACCCTAAACTCCCAAGAAAGAAACAAAACAGAGATTGCTTGTTGCCGTTAAACCTATTGTTTCGGCCGGGACAAACCCCAGCCCCAGCCCGGCTGCAAATTCCAAAATCAGGCTTCAGTCAGCCCACCCCAGGCCCCCAGCCCCATGGGCTGTGCCAGCAATTCCAAAAACAGCCGGAGCTCAACCCCCGGTCGACGGATCCCCCCAGACCAGAGCCGCAGCTCAGAACCAAGTTTCAAAAAAAAAAAGACCCTAAACTCTATACCCTATACCCTAAACCGAATATGGGAGCTTAATATAGACCCGAAGAAGTAGGATTCCAATTCTGTGGACCCCTACGTCCTAGTTTGGGGAACCCTCAGGGGGGTGGTCCTCACGATCAGTTTTCATCTGTTTGGGTGTACCGGTGTAACCAATACATTCCGGACTCTAAATTCCCGTTGATCGTATTGTCACGGGTATTGTTTCTTCTACGTACTATTTTTACTGCCGCTGCTGCGACGACGACTACTGCTCCTTCTGCTGGAGCCACTACATTCCACATCGATTGCTGTTCACCCTAAACCCTAAACCCTAAACCCTAAACCCTAAACCCTAAACCCAAAGCTGAAGGCTACGCCTTCGTGAACCTCGTGGACAGAGTGGCCGTGGACGACATCTGGGCAGCCTTCGACGGATTTGCGAGCTGGTCGCTGCCCACGACCAAGGTCTGTCAGGCTCTGTCCTGGGACCCTAAACCCTAAACCCTAAACCCTATGAACCCTAAACCCTAAACCCATGTTCAGGAGTCAGGCTTTAGAATTCAGGTTTGTGTCGGAGTTGTTATCGGCCTTGTTTGGTAGGGTGTCGGGGTTTAGAGGCGAGGGCTAGGGTTGATTTAGCTTAGGGTGTCGTGGGCTATGAATCGAAGCTTATGCATTTGCTGCGGTAGCTGTTTCCGGTTTATTGCATGTGTGGGGGCGACTGCTACTCATTATGCATTGATCTCTCCTTAAACATTTATCATATCAGGAATGTCCACTGGTTAAGATATGTGGGAAAGTCTGGATCGTGGAGACACCCCCTGATCGCAAGTCTTAGATGCTACGCTACCTTACTATTGATGACGCTGGGGCTTCCATGCTGGCTAGTTTCTGTCCTACAGCTTACACAGTGCTCCTGATTCTTAAGTTATGCAGTCTCTAGGCCTGTTGGGTGTTTGGGGACGTACTGTACGGTTAGGATAGAGGCGTCTCCTGCCTGGATCAGGGTATTAGTGCGGCCTGTACCATAGGTCCGAAAAAGAGAGCCGTCACCTTGGAGATATGTCCTACTCCGGCATGCTAGCTCATGCATTTCATTACGTTGTGAAGTCGCTTGCGAGGTTCGGTCTAATGTCTACGATTTAGGTAACTTTATTACATGGAGCATATATCTGGGACAGCTGATCAAGAAATCCCAAAGACGGCAGATCCACTTGGGTAGTTCTCGAAATTAGGGTCCCTTGTAGGGGTCCTTTTTATAAGGGGCGCCGGACTATTTCGGGGGTTCTAAACAGGGATCCCTAATTTAGAGAAGTACCCACATGCGTCAGTGGTGGTGTGCACCGACCCTCGAGCTTCCAGAAGCCTGGAGTGCCTCAAAACCCGAAGCCGAAAGCATCAAAACTCGAAGCATATGGACACCTAGCAGAACCTAAGAATGCCCCGAGTAGATATGAAGATTTTTCTATCATGTTGACGGAAACTCCTCGTAGGTTATGAAGGACGCAGAAGTGCCCAGAGACTCCATTATCCCTTAACTAAGGAATATACCGTAAAATTAGAATAGGAACCCTGATAAGATTTAAGGTATATTCCTACACTCTAAACCCTACACCCTAAATCCTGAACCCTAAACCCTGAACCCTGAACCCTAAATCCTGAACCCTATTCCTTAATTAAGGAATATTGCAGTCTGTGGGTGGAGGTGCGCTGGAGCAGTCCGCACCAGGGTTTCGAGGCTGGGCCTCCGTGGTACGGCCTCAATAGCAGGGTTGCGTGGCGTAGAGTAGTATACCTTTATAGCAAGGAGCCTTTACAGTAAGCAGCCCCAAGATATAGTATATAGTTTACTAGGTATAGTCTCCATGATAATTCGTCTTTTGTACCCCTGTTCTCCAGTAACTAGTACACGATCCAAACCATAGACGACTGGGTTCACCCAAAAAATATCTACCACGGAGACTATGAGGTAGGTGTGTTTCGGGGGCCTCAGGCGAGGACTTTTTTCGATTGGGTTGGCATACTCTGCTGCTACCATTTGAGTCGTTCCCCTAAATTAGGGTCCCTTTGTTTAGATCCTTCAAAGAGTACGGCCCCCATATAAAAAGGACCCTAAAAGGGGCTCTGGTTGAGAGAACTACCCATGTGTGTTCAACTCCGGTGCGTCACTGGGGAGTTTCATCATGGGTCCATGTACCTCCTTTGAGGGTTCCCTTGATTGTACCCATAAGGGCTCCTTGAAGGGACCTAATATAGGTCTATAGGGTTTAGGTTATAAGGGTCCATGTACCCAAATAGTAGGTACTTTGGCCTTAAAGTAGTCCCTAGTTGGGTATTTTGGGCCAAAGAAACTACTATTTGGGTAATGGGAGTTGAGGGTTTCAGTTGCATGGACCATGGCTTGGAGTTGAGAAGCCTGCTTTCGTCTATGATTCAGCCTTTCAACCTAGAAGTCATGCGAAGGCCCACGTCGAGCGCTACAGGAACAGCCCGGTCATGCACCGCTGTGTCTTGTTTTCATGGGGCCGTGTTGTGTGGGCTTGAAAGTTGTAGGACTTGGTGAATGAATGTTGTGGATTTTGAGTTTCAGGGCCGAGTATTTAATTTAATGGAGGAGCCTTGATACTACGAATCGGGCTTTCAGGTATAGTATACTATACTCATAGTAAGGAGCCCCAGAATTTGACAATAGTGTTGGTAGTTGTTTAGGCCCCTGCATTGTGGATTCTACCCTGGGGGGTCTGACTCAGAAAATGAGATCGTGTCTGAAATATGCTTGTGTCATACTATGTCGCTGTAGGGTTGGTTTAGGGTTTAGGGTTTAGGGTTTAGGGTTACAGGCTAAAATTTCCTCGACTTCTCCCCTCATACCAGCCTAAACCTTAGACCATCCTAGACCCCTCTTGGCTTCAAGGCCGAGGGGTTTCCCCGGATACCCAACCCCAAGCCTGAAGCCACCAATTGCGGGCCATCAGAAGTACCTATAGTCTCCATTGTAGCTCCTTTTTTTGGGTTTAACCAATTCTATATTAAGGATCCTAAAAGGTAGCCCCAAAAAGGAACTACAATGGAGACTTTAGGTAGTTGTGAAGTCATCTTGCGGGGGTTCCTGATGAAAGAAACGACTCCGAGAAGGAATCTCCGGGACTTTAGCTCCATTTCCCCAACAGGGTGGTGTACACTCCGGGGTGCCTGCGTCCCTAAACCCTAAACCCTAAACCCTAAACCCCTACCCTAAACCCTAAACCCTAAACCCTAAACCCTAAACCCCAAACCCTAAACCGTATTAGTGTTCGTGCGAGTCGCCCGCACGGCGCAAGCGGAAGGTTCCGCCAACTACCACTGCAGTAAAACGAGGTGTCCCCAGAGAACCCAATACCCTTTAATTAAGGAATATACCTAATTATATCATATCATAGAAATCGAGGTTTTTATCATTTCAGGTATATTACTTAATTAAGGAATATACCTTATATCATGATATTAAGGTTTCCATAATTTCAGGTATATTACTTCATTAAGGGGTATTGGGTTTTCTGGGTCTCTGAAGCCCCGAGATGACGTCGCGGCAAGCATTTCCCGATCCCGCAAACCAACGAGGTGGTGAAGTGTTTCTGACTCCCGACGGTAGAAGGGGAGGGAAGCATTTCGTTCCCTGAACCCTCAAGCCTAAACCCTGAACCCCTAAACCCCTAAACCCCAAACCCCTAAGCCCCCAAACTCTAACCCACAAACCCTAACCCAAAAACCCCAAACTCTAACCCAAAAACCTTAAACCCTAAACCCTGAACCCCTAAGTTAGCCCTAAACCCTAAACCCTTATTGAGGTGTTTCTGAATCCCGGCCGTGGGCACCTGGGGGTATCCTGGTAGTCTCTCAACGTAGGCATAGCTCTTCCATATACTTGTCGTATCCTTTTGTAGGGTTTAGGGTATAGGGTTTAGGATAACTTCTTATAAGGTGTAGGGTTTAGGGTTTAGGATAACTTTTTCATAGTTCAGGGTTTAGGGTTTAGGATAAGATGACAGGGAACACCTCCGTTCCGATCATGGAAGCATTTTTGCCGTCTGAAGCCAGACAACCACGTGAGAAATCGTCAGCGCCAGAACCCATCAGGCCCCGAAGCCTAAACTGGGCCGGAAGCCCCTAAACTCCAAAACCCTAAGCCTCTAAACTCCAAAGCCCTAAACCTCAAAACTCCAAAACCCTGAACCCCTGAACCCCAAAATGCTAAACCTCGAAACTCCAAAACCCTCAACCTCCAAACGACAAAACCTTGAACCCCTGAACCATGAAACGAAGTTCTCATCTGCCTAGGCGTGCCGGACCAATATAAGCCCGTCATCTTCCAGCTTGGCATGCGACAACCGTTTCCACCGCCCACGAAGATGGTCAAAGCACCGATGATGGGGTGCCGCTAAGGAAACAGCTGCTTGTTGAAGACTTCTGACGAGGCTTCGTAGGGCATTCCTTCTGCCTGGTGTTTCTTTGGTCTTCACTTCCAGGCAACCCTAAACCCTAAACCCTTGTTTTGCCTTTTGTAAGGCTCGGGCACCCAAAGGCCTGCAGGTTTGTGCGGCCTTCATTCTGCAGAATCTGGAGTTCTGTACAGCTGCTCCATGCAAATTGGTGCACCTACCTTACCCAATCTTTCTGAAAGTTGTACAGGAGGTGATATAATACCTCAACATGCGACCCTCACCGTTCCATGCGCACAGGGCGGCCGCAGCAAGCATCTGGGGGCGTGGTCAACTCAGGATTCACCCCGGAACGAAAAGGCTGCGTTGGGACGTTCAGACTTATTCTCTCTTATCTTGTTCGGTCTTAATTTAGTTAGGCTATATCATACTTCACTGACTTATCCTATCTGATCTTGTTCGGCCTTAATTTCGTTTGGTTATAGCATGCTTCACTGACTTGTCCTATCTTACTTGTTCGGTCTTAATTTAATGCAGGGAACATCATTACAATGTTGTGTACTCTACTATCTATAGTTGCATCATGCTTTGTGCATAACACAACAATCATGTTAATTGTGCATGTTTCTAAATCCTATTACCCTATCTTATGCAGCATTAGATTTATGGTAAATGAACACGCTATATCACACCATCTCATATTATGCTGTAATGGATTATCTTGTAACTGAATATGTGATGTGATATCCCTGAACCCTAAACCCTCAGCCCTAAACCCGAAGCCCCCCTAAACCGGGGCTTAGGGCTTTGGGGTTCGACTTCTCATCTTCCGAAAATGTATTTGGCTCGAACACAGCTCTTAAGTAACAGGATCCTATGTATGGGTAGTTCTCTAAATTAGTAGGGTCCCCTTTTGGGTCCTTTTTTTAAGGGTGCCGTA